AAAGAGCCCTTGGGGTTTGAACAGTGGCATCCAACGAACAGGCGGGAAACCAATTTTTTTTTTTTGGAAAAGGAAAAAAATTTCAATAAGCAAAGCTGCCTCTCGAGCCACAGCGGGTCACGGGCAGGACGGCAGGGGCAGATTTCCTCAACCGTGTTACAAGTAACCCATTGTGGAGCTGCCTGGCTGTAAACCGGCAGCTCTCCCCTGCCTGCGCTGCCGAGCTGCCTTTGATCTGGAAGCCCGGGCAATTAATAGCAGGCAGTTTCACTTCCTGGGTTTCATGCAGCAAGCCCGTGTTGCAATGCAAAGCTGCAAACAGTTGGCAAGTGCAATGCTTGCTTGGCATTTTTTTTTTTTTTTTTAAATTCAGGGTGACGTTTCCATTAGTCACTGATTGCAAGGGAAATTTATTTTCAGAAAAATTCAGATTTTGGCCCCAGTCTGACCTGCTACTGCTGGCTGACTGTGTCCAAACATACAGTGCCTGGTGCCATCAGAAAAGGGACATGAAAAAGGCTGAGAAATGGGTCCGGAGAGAGTGCGGTGTCACGCTGCACGCTACCTCCCCAGGTGGTTGTCTGGTTTGGGTGTCCATCGACTGTACCACACAGCCTCAGTCCCCACCCCGAGCGGGGCGTAGGCTCTGGGGGCACCATGGCCCCTCTCTAGGACCCCCCCATGGGCATCGAGGGCCACACGGGGAGGGGGCTTACTGCTAGCCCTGGCACAGGGGCCAGCCAGACCCCAAACCTTTCTTTCTTTGCGTGAAGCCAGCAACACAAGGGGTGCAAACCCCGGTGATTCTGGCATGGGGAGCACACACCCAGGAGCATTTTCGGGGAGGTGCTGCATGCTGAGCTGCTCTGTGCCGGGAGCCCCACGCTGATCAAAGGGAACTCCCACCGCCGGGCTGTGCGATGCAGGCAGCGCCTTGACACCGAATCCCCCGAAGGGTTTGGGTGCTTGTAACCCAAAAGGAGAAGGGACGGGGGAATGGCTGCACCCCAGGGGCTGCAGGGCTCGGGGTGCGAGGAGGCGAAGGCAGCGCACCCCTGCCTGCGGAGGCAAGCAGGAGCCTTCGTCCCCCTCCCCGGCCAGCAGCTCCTCTTCCTCCTGCAAGAGCTGCCTCTGCAGCTCTGCGTGGCGGGGAGCGTGTGGGAAGCGGCACAACCCCCAGAAGGGCCGTGTGCTAATTAAATAAAGATAATGAGGCTGAGAATGAGATGCCAAATCGATGCTGTGGCAACTCAGGACTAGAGCGCCAGATACCAGCCTGGTGTATCGCATTACAAAGCATGCCAAAGAAACTGCCTTCAGCCCGGCGGGATGAGCCCTCGGCTCCCGAGGGACCGGGATACAAGCTGCATTGTAACAGGTCTGAATGCGAGGTCTAATCCTGGCTCTGGATGGAGATAAAGAGGAGGAGGAGGAGATCTTCAAAGGCCACTGAAAGTCTGGGGAAAGGGGGAGATTTACAACAGGGCTTATCCCATCTAAGCAGTAACTGGGTATTGTTATTTATTAAAATGCCATCTGGCACTCCAGAGCGCTCCTCGCCTGTGTGGTGAAGCCTCGGCGGCTCCCCGGGGGGGGAGCACCGAAATCCCCGCTCCGCGGGGCCCCATCCGCCCCTCTCCCCACGCTGGGGGGCAGAGATCTTTCTGGGGGGTGCCGGGCTGCTGAAACGGGGTGAGGGAACATCCAGCCAAGAGCAGAAAAGGGAGCTGAGGCTCTGGCTTCTCCCAGCCCTTCTTCAGCTGTTTCCACTTAAACCACACGATCGTATGGCGGAAAATCTGATCCTACAAGCGCAGCGCAACTTTCCCAGAGAAACGTGAGGACACCGCTGCTTCTGCCCAGTGAGAGGGCAGGCTGCCGGATGGAGATGTGCCCGCGGCGCAGCGTGGCTTCCCCGCGCGCTGGGGAAGAAGCCGGGGCTTGTCGGGGGGGGAAATGAAAGGTGCTGGGAGAGCCACCACCGCATGGGTGTCTGGCCAGCTGAGGGGATGTGGAGAGGGGATCTCGTCCCAGGCTGCAGCAATGGCCTGAGGAGCCCTCGGTCCTGCCTCAGGATGCCCCAGCTCAGCAGCCCGCATGCTGGCTGGAAACGGTGTCGCCTTGTGCCCAAACCCCACTGGGAAAAAGCAAACACCCTGTCCAGTCTGAGATCTCCCAGACCAAGCGCGAAGTAAACCAGCTCCCCAGGAGCACGGACCCAACACACACTTTTAAGCATGGGCTCCTTGCCCAGCGACGGATGCCTGGCACCGGTGTCCATCTGCCCCAGGAGGAGCCAGAACGGCTGCGCGCAAGGCTGACGCAGGGGGCTGAGGCACCGAAGTTGGGGCTGTGCTGGCACTGACGGTGCTGGAGGCTCCGGTACGCGCG